TCCTGGGGCTGGATCTCACCAGGGCTGGTTCTCACCAGGATGGCCCTGACCGGGGCTGGATCTCCTGGGCTGGGTGGGCCAGGGGACCCGCTGGACATGGGCTGGGTGGGGCAGGCTGGGATGCAGACACCCGGGCTGCCTACAGTGGTTCAGCTCATTGCGCCCACCTTAGTCCATGATTTCTCGAAACATACATTTCCATTGAGCGTTTCATGCCGGGTCTCATTCATTTGCTGTTTAATGTCACTTAGAATTATCCAGGGACTAAAACAGGCCCACAGAGAACAGATTTTAAAAGTATATTTTGAAGACAGAGATGGACCTTTAATATTCTACGGGATTTCAAATCCCTGCACAGAGAATGTCAGCTGAAGTCTAGAAGGAGTGCTCTGAAGCCTGCCTTTGAGAGGGGAGAGGCGGCCTCGGCTGTGCCAGAGCACAGGACCCACCTTTTCCAAATTGCACTTTTCAAGTCTGATACAGCCAGATAATCAACAGCTCAAATAAAATCATTATTGTGTCAGAGAGAGAAAGTGTGTTCAAGGGGGAACTTAATGACAGCAGAGGAAGAACAAAGGTGCGTCCTAATAGGGAGACTTTTTCTAAGATTAAAGGAGTCCTGGGTCCTGGCCCGTGGTTTTGCTTCACGTGACGCTCTGAAATCGTCTCGGTGGTTGCATGAAAATCTTGCCTTGAAGTCAGGGGTTGGAAAACCCTCCGAGAGAAACAGAAACCACTCAGCGCCCACATCATCACCTCTGGCGCTCAGGGGAACCTGTTTCTTTTCCAGAGGCTCAGCTATTTTTATCCCAAATATCACACGGTTTGAACTTAGGGGCAAACTCAGCGGCGGAAACTGTGTTGACCCCAGAACTGCATGCCCTCTCGACGGAAAAGAGAAAAATGTTCATAACTGACAACTTAGAAGGAAATTTAAAGGGGCACCTAAACCTTTTGAGCCTAGAGCCAAAAATGCAAAGTGTCTGAGGTGGTGGCCGCGACGTGACAGTTTCAGGAGGGCGCCAGTGGGTTTGAGTCTGAGCACTCGGGTTCGGGCGGGATGGGGGAGGGAGGGATGTTGCCCCCCAGGGACTGGGGGTTCCCTGCAGAGCCGGGGCCTGGCCACACAGTGGGTCGGGGGGGGGGTGGCCACCAGCCCCACAGGACCACCTGTCACAACCTTTTCTGAGCACTTCCTTGCCTCGCCCTTGACCTAGTGGCCGCCTTGCCCTGGCGTGACCCTCGGGTCCCTACTGCATCATCACTGGTGCTGGGCTGCAGGGGTCGCTGGGCTGCTGCTGGAAAGGCGGGGAGGCTCACGGGGCTTGAGCTTGGAAGAGGAAGGAAGAAGGATGCATGTGGGGAAGGGGCTGGGAGTCTCCTATTCACCGGCTTCCGCTAGAAGTCTCCATATTATTCCATAGGCTCATTTACAGTGTGGCCCTGGGGCCTCTCTCTGTCGTCCGTGGCGACACAACCTGGTTTCTTTCCCTGGTTCATTCTGTCCTCTCGGGAGCGGGAGGCGCTGCTGGAGACTCAGGTGGGAGTGTCCTCCCTCAGCCCTGGCCAGGCCACACCTGCCCTTCCAGAAGCTCACGGCCCAGTGGGAACTCCTACCAGAGGATGATCTGATTCCTTGCCGTATACTGAGGTCTGGGGCAAAGAGGAAGAGTTAATATCAGGATCTGTGGGTGCACGTGAACAGAATGATCATAAAAATCATCAGTCTAGCCCGTGTTGGCACCATCGGATATATGTGAATTTTCCACTTTTTCTCGCCACGTAGAGTGAGTTCACCAACGCGACTAGTGTCTGTGTCTCCTGAGGCCAAAGCAATTTTGCATAGACCAAATGTCCCAACTTTTGACAATTAGTAATGTGGAAATGTTGATCCCAGTGCATTTGGGGAGCTCCAGGCCTATGGGACTAAACGCAGATGTGAGAGGCTCTGTCTGTCCGGCCTGCGAGGCTTGGGGGTGCTGTGTGTCTGTCCACCACCTGTCTATCGTGTGGACACGATGCATCCAGGGCAGCAATGCAGGAAGGACTGGAGCGTCGGTCGGTCACGGGCACGGTCTGTGCAGTCACTTAGTGTCTCTGCTGGGGAAGGGCAGGGCCACAGAATCACGGCAGACAAGCTTATTTATATTGTTATTCTGGGCGTTAAAGCTTATACTCAGATCCTCGCCATATCAGCCAGGGTCTGGATTGCGTTTCTATGCCGAGGGCCCGTGGACTCGGGGCTGGGCAGAAATCTGCTGTCCGGGTGACACGGGCAGGAGCAGGAGGCGGGTGTGCCCGGGACGTCATGCACATCCCGACGGTCAAGGAGCCGGGAAGGCTGTATGCGGGGATCTGCCGGGGACACCGAGGAAGCAAGGACCTGCCTCTGATGGTTTCTACTGATTGCACAAAACCCCGACGCCTTCAATAAGGATCTGGACATTCACCGACATTTCACATCCACCAAGTGGCTTCTAAGACGGAAAAAAAAAGAAGTTTCAGGTCTGAAACCTACCCGAAATCTAGTCCGGGCCGCATTTGCTTTATTCAAAGGCGAGCATGACGGCTGGAGGTGGCCGTTGGCCTAAGGACAGGAGGTAGGCTGGCACTTATAAAGAGCAGAGGGAGCTGGGCCACACGTCCTGCAAACAAATGACGAGCTCGACACGGACAGCGAGATCAATGGTATGCAAACTACAGCCAGAAATCCGGCGCGCGCCCCGGGGGTTCCCTGCCTGGGACCCAGGGTGCTTCACCTGGACCGACACTCTCCTATCTCAGCCCCGTGGAAACAGCTTTTCTGACCTGCTGGGTTTGAAAACGGGATCGGCGGCTAATCACTCTCTGCTCTCAGAATACCAAGAGGAAGGCAGCGAGCAGGGGGAACAGATGTGGATCCCCAACGCGGAAGTTCCCCCGAAGGGCCCTGAAGCCTGGTGAGCACAGGCCTGAGCCGGGAAGCATCTGCCACGGAGCGTGTGCACCGCGGAGGAGGGGCTGCCTCTGAAAACCACCCCGCACAGGCTCTGTTGTCAGAGGCGTCTGCGTGCGGCCAGCAACACTGTGCTCTGGCAGAACCCAGGCAGAGCCCCGTCTGAGCACGCGACATCGCGCGAGGTCCCCTGTGCTCCTGGGACCTTGAAGACGTAGGACACTGGTTTCCAGGCAGGCAGCCCAGTGCCACGGAGCGTGTGTATAGGTCAGGTCGCAACGGCGCCCACCCCGTAGCTGCGTGAGCCATCCCTCCCGGGGGATTACGAGCCGGGGCACTGGCCGCGCACTTGGCTCCGTCGAGGCACTTCTCCCCGCCTCGCGTGCAATCCCGTGCGTGCAGCTCGGACGTGACCGGGCCCTACGAGCGGCGCGTGGAGTGCGCTGCTCGGCTTTTGCAAAGAAGCCGTAACTGTCACCGGCTCCGACTGGATGACGGATGTGCTTAGGGCTCTTAAGCAGGCTTTGGCAGTGATGTTTACTTTCTGGGTAAGCGCAAACATGACAGTATTGTTAGGACCATGAATAGAGCTTTTGTCAGGGTATTATGGGAATTACAGTATTTAAACGAGCACATCTCACTCAGAGGTAACTCTGAACGTGTTGCAAGTGCACTTCTTGACGGACTGTGACCGTGAGCGGATCTGGTTAAACCGCTGGTACTTTCAGGAGTTCTGCATCGCGGAGGGGGCTTCGCGACGTGACCCTGCCGTGGGAGGACACGAGACGACACACCGGGATGGGAAGGCACCGCCTCTGGGCCGCCAGGCGTTTTCGCGGATCCCGGGCCACGCTGCGCCACGCAGGCAGTTGCTTTCAAACCACTGATTTCTGGCCTGCGAGGAGGCCAGAGAGCTGTGCACCCGGCAGGAAAGCGGACACGCTGCTGGGCCCAATCCCTCCAGGGAGCGCCCGTCCCGCCCCAGGGGGGGGGGGCAGTGGAGATGGGGGGGCGGCATGAACACAAAACCAGACCTGCACTTAGGTCTTGGCCCTCCGGGAAGGCGTGGAAAATACCGAGTTCTTTCTCCCAGACGAGGTTGCCGGATGAGAGTAAGGATGATGAGGGGAAAAAAAACCCTGAATTCTTTACATTAAAGAGAGAAAACAAAACCTGTGTCCTCAGCTGTGTCTTCTCATTTCCAGAAAAGACCAAGGATGGGAAGCCAGGTACTGTGTTTGCGAGACGGCTTTCTGGGAACATTCCAAAGCGCCCATCTCTAGATTTCTACAGCAGCCTAGCCGTGGGTCACCCAGAACAGAGGAACATCATCCACACTTTCTCTTGCCTGCATATGTTCCTTGTTTCCCACCCCAAGGCAGCACAGGCTGATTCACGGACATGTTTACCGGACATCAAGTCCTCGTCACCGGCATAGGCAGTCGCTGTCGTAGGCAGTGCAGGGAAGTGAAGGACAGCGTGCCTTCCGCACCCAGGCCCGGGGCCGGCGTGGTGGGGGCGGGTGCCGAGCGCGGGGTTGAAGGCCAGCTGCCGTCTGTGCCCATATCCCAGCAGCTTTACCGACGCGGGCAGGACGTGCACGAGGCTCACCCCCAGGTGGGGACACAGCCCGCCGGTCGGAGGCAGCACCCGTCACACCTCACTTCCTCTCTGAGAGGACTCCTCTCTTGCCACCTGTTTGAATCATCCCCGCCCCCCCCCCCCCCACTGCTTCCTTCGGGAACCATTAGCAGGTGGTGGTTCCCACACTCTGTCCCGGTTAGAGGTGTCCCCACCTCCCAGCTCCCGTGACACGGATCCGGTTAATGAGCAAACTTGCAAGGCTCCTGTTGAAGGTCACACACTGGCGGCCAGATGTCCAGGAAAACAGCAACCCCCTTTCGGAGCGAAGAGCCCAACAGGGGCTTAGCTCAGGACACACGGTAAGAGCACATGAAAAGGACAGAACAGATTACCAATTTGGCATAGAATGCACAACACTTAGCTTGATCCAGAAGCGGAAAGGCAGACATAACCCCGTATTTGCAACAACGCAGTAAGTCAGCCTTTGCGAGGGACAGCAGGTGTCGGGCCAAGCATCTGTCTCGGTGCCGTGAGCTTGACGGACCCGGAGCACGGGGTGGGGGCCCCGCCCCTTGTTCCGGACCCTGCGAACGGGAGTAATGGCTCTGGATCCTGCTGCAGTCGTGACACTCGGAACAAAGCCTCTGGGCCATCATTCTGACCCTGGACACGAGAACAAATCGTAATGAGAAGGAAATTGGTATCCAGCACCACTAAAAACAGCCTCCTGACCCCAAAGGCGAGTAGTGGGAATCTGGGGATCCTGATGGAGAAAACCAAATTTTATACCTAATTTGGAGGCTGCCAAGGCCAATTATGGGGGACAGACAAGTCACCTTGGGTTTACACGCTCTTCCTAGGAGGCTGGAAGTCAGGGAGGTGTGGGCAAGGGTCATAGGTCCTCCCCCCGGCCCTATGGGGAAAACGCTGAGAGCAGAGCCTCTCCCCTACAGAGGGACTCACGGGCCCTGGGAGGCGGTGGGGGGACCGGCATGGTGGGGCGGAGGCAGGGTCAGGGAGGGGCCCCTGGAAGGATGAGCTCAGTCTGCTCTGGGCTAGAGATGCCTCCAGGAGCCACCTCCCATCTCCTCCCGGAAAAGGTCCCAAGGCCCCAGTGACTGGGCAGAGAAAGGCCCCACACCTGGCGGTCGGAGTAAATCTGAGCGACTCCCTGGAGACAGAGGCCGCGTCAAGCCCCAGCGGGGAGAGCACGTTTTGTTTCCGAGCCGGGGGCGCAAACCTCTCTGTTTCTTCATTTTCCAACCTTGCGACCCAGGAGGGCCTGACAGAAGAGAGGCCGAGCAGGGGTCCTCACCTGCTGCCCTGTAGCCGGGCCAGTGGGGAGGCCGGGCTCTGGCTTTGTGACCCAAGGGTCTGCTGTGGCCAGGCCCCCCTCCAGACTCAGGGAGTATGTGGATTCGCAGGGCTGCCTCTGCTTTCTCTGCTTTGTTTTAAACCCAGGGGTGAGCGGGGGTGGGGGCCCAGGGGGCTCATCACAAGGTGCAAGGTGAGAGGGTGCGTGGCGGCCACGTGCTGTGGGGGGACGCGGCCCTGACCCCACCTGGGTATCTCACGAGGCCACTGGCTTCCTTCTAGGCTTCCTCTGCACTGTGGAACCTCCTCTTCGCCACACTGGCTCCATCCAGGAGCCTGTGAGCAAAATGCATTCACAAGCAATGTGCTGAGTCTCACGCCAAAACCCGGATGTTCCCTGTCCTTACCTGCGTCTTACACGTGGAGGCAGGTACGGTCCCAGGAGGTTGCGAAAGACAGGCCCAGTAAGGCTCTGCTGGCCCCTCCAGTCCTCTGGCGGCAGCACCTGGGTCAGCCAACACCGGTGACATGCTCCCGCGGCTGCCCTGGGGGCACAAGTGTGCCTCATCTTCTCGGGGCATAAGAAAGGTGGGCTTCACCGACTCCTCGGTGCCAGGGCCTGAGCAGTAACACTCACCGTGGGCTTGGCATCTATCACTTCCGGGGCTGGGGTTGGGCATCTCCTGACCACTTCCGGGGCTGGGCCGTCTCCCCACCACTTCCGGGGCTGAGGGCACCTAGGCACCACTTCTAGGGCTGGGGCTGGGCATCTCGCCACCACTTCCGGGGCTGGGGTTGGGTATCTCACCATCACTTCCGGGACTGGGCCATCTCCCCACCACTTCCGGGGCTGAGGGCACCTAGGCACCACTTCTGGGACTGGGGCTGGGCATCTCACCATCACCTCCGGGGCTGGGGTTGGGCATCTCCTCACCACTTCCGGGGCTGGGGGCACCTAGGCACCACTTCTGGGGCTGGGGGCACCTAGGCACCACTTCTAGGGCTGGGGCTGGGCCATCTCGCCACCACTTCCCGGCTGGGGCACACTGAACGTAAGCGCTTGTGGGTCGGGGCTGCCCGCCAAGGCTGCTGCCGGGCCTCCCCGCCCCGCCCCTGCGCCCAGCGCCCTGTGAACATGCCCCTGTGTCCCTCCTTAAAGCCAGGCGCCAGGGGAGAGCAGGCGGGGGACGGGCCCGGCCCGGGGTGAGCAGAGGAAAGCACACGCTTCGTGCACAAGGCAGCCCAGACCCAGCAGCTCAGAAGAACAGAACTCGCGTCACGGCTCTGGACACTGGAAATCGGCAGCTACGTGTGGGCGGGGCCGGGTCCTTCTGAGACTCCGAGGGGCGTCTGTTGCACGTCTCTGTCCAGCTGCCGGTGGCCTCCGGCCACCTGGGTGCCCCTTAGCTTGTGAAGCCACCACCCCCGTGTGTGCCGTCACGGTCACCTGCTTCTCTGCGTCTGGGTCCACACTGCCCTTCTTACGAGGGGTCGGGGCCCATCAGTCCAGCTCAACTCGTCCTAACTAATGACACTTGCGGTGACCTTTTTTTCAGATCAAGTCACCGTCTGAGGTCCTGGGAGTTACGACTTCATGTAGGAGTGTGCTGGGGGGACACGGTGCCCCCCGCGGTATGCAGGGGCAAACACCCAGGCGTGGAGATAGGTCATATTGTAACGCAATCCTTGAGGAGGTCGAAATCCACGCAAAAACCCGAGGCAGACAAAACACAAACACAGGATCAGTATGGCTGACTTCTCCTCCGGCCCTGGGCGCTGGCAGGTACCCGCTGGGTCCTGGTCCCCGTCCTACCTCTGTTTACAAAGGTGGTACTTTGTTAAGACGCACGTTGGTTTGCATTAATTTTCATTTTCTAAAATACCACGTTGAAAATTCTCTCTCTCGATGACTGAGATGGTTGGTGCCCAAGGCAAGTGCCTTGCTTGCCTGGGTCCCCCCGGGTGCCGACGGAGCTCAGCCCGATGGAGGCAAAACCATCAGCCTGACCGGTGGGGATGAGCCTATCCTCACCCCAACGCCCTGACCCCCACGTGAGTCACCGCAGGGCAGAAGCCCGTTCTCCAACTGTCCCCGGGGGGGAGGCGCGTGCTGGCTGCTGCCTGGAGTTTTTCGACAGGGCTACCTGCCAGGGCGGTCTGCCCCTGACCCTGGCCCTGGCCCTGGGCGGAGGGGAGCCTGAAGCCTCACCTCCTCTCTGTCCTGCGGCTGGTAACACTAGCCCTCTTTCTGTACCGAGATGACCCTCGGCCCGATCGCTGGCATCCCAGTGACCCCGGGTCACCGATTTCCCCAGCACCACCTGAGCTCCCGCCCTGGAGAAAGTCTACCCTGTTCCTTTTGTTTAATGGGGCTATTGGTAATAAAACTTGTACAATGATTAAAAGCGTGATTGTATCTCTGGTGCTTAGCAAGGCACCTCTTCATGCATTAGTAATGCAGGGATTCAATAAAGCCTCATCTGCTCTCTGCTGACAACTGTTTAACTTTTCTTTACGCCGCGCGGCCACGCTTCCTGCAGTATGACAAAGCTTCATGCGAGGGCGAGGAGGCACTTCCATTGAAGCCGGCTTTAATTATGGATGTCCTGCGTGGGACACCCTTCTTCTCTGTGTGTTTCTTCCCTCCAAGAGCACCCGTTGAAGTCAACGATCAAAGACAGGTGGAGAGAAACGTGCCTTCGTAACCCGGCCTGACTTGGCCTCCTCTTACCTGACTAATTTTGTGTATCGCTGCTCTGTTGTCAGATACTCAAAGGTCCCCTCACGGGGACCCCCAAAGGCCCGTGCTCACCATCTCGGCAGATGACTCTCTCCTAGATCGGCCACGATTTAACCGTTCAGCTGCTGTAGCCCCCAAGCTAAAATGGGGTTCTGCAAAGCTCATCCAGCAGAACCAGGACCCCGGACGTGCCCGCGATGAGCCAGACTGTTCCTCCGTGATTTTGCCCGTTCTCCACCTGGATTCAAGCCACTAGAGTAGACGGACAAGCTCAGAGAGGGCTTCCCCGGAGCTTCTGTCAAGGAGTTCTGGGCATCCTGAGATCTTCTCCTCTGCTTTAATCATGTGCCTGTTCAACTGATGTGGATCGATTTGGCGAAGAGGATGCCACGTGTACACGGCGACCCAACAGATCTAAACTCTGCCCTCCGTGGGCGGGTGTGAGTGGAGAGCTGTGCCAAAGTCCCCAAGAGATGCCTGCTGAGTCACGCAGCTTTCTGAGCCTGAGTCCGGCCTTATTACGAAGATTACAATTTCAGCCTGCTCCTTGGGAGTGGCTGACATTTGATTGGATTGTGCACTCAGATCTTGATTTGGAATATTGTGGCAGAAGTGGGTGCTTCACACTGGTCACTTCTCCATTTTCTCTTGCCTCTAGTGATAGAGAATTGGGCTCTCCTCACCCCTGTTGGTTCCAAAGGGCCCCTGAGTCTGCAGGGTCAGGGCTGGATACTGGGGTTCTGCTCATTACGGCCAACTGAAGCAGGTCGTGGGAAGAAAGGAAGTGCATGTGTATCCATCGGAACAGAAGCATCATTTTCTTTCCCTAACTTGCACCAGACTCACACTCTGTAAGGGGGGGGGGGGGCTTACGAGGTGGTGACTGTAGATACCCTGAGGGTTGGTCCTGTTTGAACCTTCCTGCACCAACACGCACTCACACGCATTGACACACACACACACACACACACGTGCAGACACACGCACTTCCCAAAGCCTCCGGCTCCGCATGGTTCTTGCCACCGTTCGTTTCCAGGCCGCATCCCTGTGCTCCGGCAGGAGACTGCCTCTAGTGCACGGCTGCGTAGACAAACACACGAGTCCACATTTATAAAGCATCTGAAGCCTTCCAATGAAAAGCTTTCTGCTAGTTCAAGAGGCAAAAAGAGTCCCACGTGTCGTCTTTGATGTGTAGTTTTCCAAGTGCTCAGAAGCATTTCTGGGAAGCTGTGTGAGTCCCTTTTGTTTCTAGAATGTTTGCTTGATGTGTTTCAAAGCAGCAGTGAGAGCACTCCTGGCAAGGTCTTGCTTTTTAATTGTGGCTCCGTGAGCGGCGATCCCGCACCTTAATTCCACGCGCTCGTGTCGAAAACACATCCCTCTGTGAAGGCGTACTAGCTACACTGTAAACATCTTGGAAAACTTTGCCAACATTACTCAAAATAGGCAGCTGGATTTTTTTTTTTTTTATCATTTCCAGGTGCATTTGAGGGAGAGGAGAGTTCTAACGGACCTAAATTGTCTGTGCGATCCAAACTCCGAAAGTTATACCCACACATTTCAAAGAGATATTGCTTTGGAGACTACGGGCAGATGAACAAAACGTCCCCAGTCCTGTGAGCCCGTCCACGGTGCCATCCGCCACGTTTACAGTGAATGTTTACGCACTGTTTCTCCCAAATAGTCTTGTCTCACATATTGTTTCCTGATTCCAGGTTCTGGGAAGAGAAGGTCCCAGGGCTGCTTGCATCCGGGTGCACGTGTGCCCGATGTGCAGAGGACTCAAGATCCAATTCCAGAACCAGAGACGGGCTGTCGCCTGGCCCCTGTGGACCCAGAGCCTCCTGCCTTCCTCCAGCCCCTGCAGACTTGCTCGGGGTGGTCACTGCGTGTTCCCGCTTGGGCTGAGGTGTTGGGTGAAGAGTCCTTCCCTCGCGAGGGACACCGTTTCCTAACTGGAAACTTTACGAAGCTGACATTTGGCAAGAGAGTCATTTCTCCCGCAAACGGTCACCCATTGCAGTTCATGGAAGCGAAAATGCGACTCACGTTTCGCTTCGATTTCGCTTTTTGAATGGGTTAGTCTTCGTACATCATCACTTTGGGCCCCTAGGTTCGTGAACTTTGGGATAGAAGGGTACTCGCGTGCGGCCAAGTGGTGAGACCCAGGAGAGTCTCTGTCCAGCACTGTGCGGGGCCCTCACACAGGACATCCCCACCGGGCTCTCCATGGGTCACCCCGGGTCGTCCTCGCTTGCCTCTTCCCTCCAGAACCATCCTGCACAGCCCGGACACACACACCACCTCCTCCCAAAGTGCTTTCAAAGGCCGTTGCTTGTTTGAAATCGCACTTCTTCCGGCTTTCACAGCCTCCCTCCCTGGCCCTGCTTACCTAAGTACATTTCCCACCACTTCCTGGTGCCACGTCCCATTCCTGTGGGGTGTCCCGTGTCTGATGTCCTCCGTGTCACGTCCACGCGCACTCCTGACTCGGGCCACGCTGCACTTCCTTCCGAGTGCCTGGGCTCGGCAGCACATGCGTCGTGCAGATCGTACCCCTTCCCGAGTCCTCCTGGGTATGAGATGCCTGCAGGCGTGACGCTCCCCACTCTGTCCCGGTATGCCACCCCTGGCTGTACCTCGACAGCGGGGACTTTGCTCTATGCCTGTCGGTGCCTCACCGCACCCCGTAAAGGTCCGGACACACACTAACTGTTCCAGAAAAGCTATTGGCTTTAAATCCACGGAGGGGGGGCGAGGGCACTCTCCTGGCCCGGCTCTCTGGGTCCCGCTTCCCGGCCCTTCACTGTGTGGTCTCCTCCCACGTGGGAAGTGTGAGAAGCGGGCGACAGCACCGTCAGGTGGAAGAGGAGAGCTTCCTGACACGACGGTAGCTCCGCACGGACACTCGCGGTGTTTCGCCGACAGCGGTGGAAATCCAAAGACGCGGATTCCACTGGAACGCCGCAAGGCTCCCTGTCGCGCTTTCCCTCAGTATGCTGTGGGGGACACGAGGATGGGCAGGCTCTGTGTTTCTAGTCGGCTCGGGCAGAGTGGGGCTGCCCGGATGAGGGTCAGAGAGGGTCCGCTTTCTCTCCAGACCAGGCGCGTTGTCCCGCTCGTCCGTTCTCGGAGAAGATTGTCGGGAGCCACGGTAACATCTGTCTCTTCTTGAAACAGGCCACCGTCCCGTTTGCCACGGAGACACGGAAGCCAGAAGCAAGCTGTCATCACTGCTGGAGTCTCCCTTGCACACCTTTCTGGATCGTTATGGATTCTTCTAAACGCGCCAAGGACTCCATGGTGGCATCCCCGTTCCGCGCCTGTTTCTGGCAGAAGACTGAACTGGACACTAACACAGCCAGGCTCGGTCCCCTTAGGTCACAGCCGTGGCCATCCCCTGGCCCGGGGGCTACTGACTCCTCTGTTGGCACATTTTTTCACGTTGTGTGAAGACACGGAATGCAAACGTGGCCACGATGTTACGATCACGTCTTAATGTACCATAGAAAACAAGGTTTTTGTTAAGTTTTTTTTTAATGTTTTCTTATTTTTGAGGGAGAGAGAGACACAGCATGTGAGCAGGGGAGGGGCAGAGGGAGAGGGGGACACAGGAGCCAAATCAGGCTCCAGGCTCTGAGCCGTCAGCACAGAGCCCGATGTGGGTCCTGAACTCACGAACCGCGAGATCATGACCCGAGCGGAAGTCGGACTGAGCCACCCAGGCGCCCAGTACAAAGCGGTGTCTTAATAGTATAAACACACACCTCGTTTTCCTGTGCTGAGCTGGGAGAGTGATACCCAATCGCCACACGTCTGGAGAGGAAACCAGGGTGCTGTCCGAGGGTCCGGACGTCTTTCCTCCGAGCTCCTGTGACCACCTGCCCAGCAGGCCGCAGGAGCACAGGGGCACTGGGTCACAGAGCTCCCAGCACGGCTGGGACTGGGGCCAGGAGCCTCCACTCCTGGGACGCACAGCTTGACCTTGAACTCTTCCATTCATCTTGCAAATGCTGAGGAGCTCACCTAGAAACTAATGGGAACCTGCTGTGCTAGTTTTCAATGTAAAAGGAATCTCTTTCCTGAGTCTATGTTGGATGGGACCCCATGAAGATTAAATACTCCGTTTACAACATGACCTCATTAGTGGGTAGATGGGAGTGTGCGGTGGTCCCTGATGTGGATCCGTAAAGAGAACATTCAAAAGTGGTTTGAGTATATTTTGTTGCTTAGAAAATTGAGTTAATCAAGTGATGATACATTTATGAGAAGTGGGCATCAGAAAATCCTTGGCAAAGATGGGGCGTGGGACGTGTGCCTGGCGTGTGGCCACTGGGAGCCCAGCCCCGGGCCTCGTCACCCTCACCATCACGTGCGATTTATTTCCCACTCAGGATCATTCATTTCCTAACGTCTGTATGGCCGCTTCTTCATCGTGTCCCTACGTGTACCCTTCATACGTGTACTTCATCGTGCACCCTCACTTTCACATATAGAAAGTAAGATTTAACCGCACTAACTCAGCGTCACCGCCCATGTAGTGGTTTATGCCTCCAATCCTTGTATTGGCAGTGACTACAGAATTTACTGTTTCTTAGTGTATCTGGGACTCTCGGGGGGAGGCCCCTTATGAAAATCTGAAGTGAGTTAAATTCACAAAACTGTTAAGGAGTAAGATTTCCTTTGTTTTATCAAAGCACAAAATACAGAATATCTTTAAGTCTGCGATGACCTTCTGACTCAGTTAATCGAAGTTGTTCCTCCAGATCCCATGACAGAGGCTGCAAGGCCTGTCATCACCCGGATCATATGGCCTGGGTCTCAGAAGCCCCTCAGCTGACCAATGGTCTCTGCGTTCTCAGGGCCCGAGGTGTCCTGAGGTGCTGGGCTCGGGGCTGATGCCCGTAAAGTTCCAGACGGTCTGAGACTAGTCTGTGGGTCAGGCAGGTCACAGAACCAGGTGAGAGTCAAGGAAAAAGAACTTGAAAACACCGTGGCCATCTTTACTCGGCCACACACAGTGTTAGGGAAGCTGTGACCACGTGGAAGACACATCTCAGAAACAAGAAAGTGTGTTACTGCAAAGAGAGCATTCTCCCCAAATGACTATGTGATTATTTTTAAATTGGTTTAATGTTTATTTATTTTTCGGAGAGAGAGAGAGTGGGAGCGGGGGAGGGGCCGAGAGGGGGAGACACAGAATCCGAAGCAGGCTCCAGGCTCTCAGCCGTCAGCACAGAGCCCGACATGAGGCTCGAACTCACAGACCGTGAGATCATGACGTGAGCCGAAGTCGGACGCTCAACCGACGGAGCCACCCAGGCGCCCGGACTGTGTGATTTTTTTTTAAATTTTTTTTTTTCAACATTTATTTATTTTTGGGACAGAGAGAGACAGAGCATGAACGGGGGAGGGGCAGAGAGAGAGGGAGACACAGAATCAGAAACAGGCTCCAGGCTCTGAGCCATCAGCCCAGAGCCCGACGCGGGGCTCGAACTCACGGACCGCGAGATCGTGACCTGGCTGAAGTCGGACGCTTAACCGACTGCGCCACCCAGGCGCCCCCCGGACTGTGTGATTTTAATGCAATTGCAATTCAGATTTCCAGTGTCTCTCTGTGGGAGGCTCAAGTCCGCAAGCATCCGATAGACGTGTGAAGACGTTACGCAAAAAACAGAAGCGGAGGGGCAGAACATAAAGATTTAAAAAATGATTATCCATGTGGAAAAGTCTAATGAAGTGAGATTCCTTCTTTATACCGGATGTGAAGCCAGAGAGCTGCAGCATGAAGGACAGAGTCGGAGAGCGTCCGCGGTTACCCTTACGATCGGGGGGCTAAGAAACAATTTTTCTAAAAACACACAAAAACTGGAAGCTTTAAAGCAGTAAAGAAAAAAGATATGGTCGTTTTATGACATTAAAATGAAAGACTGGGTAACACAAAGCCCCCTAAACAAAGACACGGGAGTCCACGAGAGGAGCCACAAGCTAACATTTTAACTGCAAAGGTGACGAAAGGTTGATTTCATGAATTCCAGTAAAGTCTTTCGATATATACAATCTCACAAGAATACCTGAAAGGATTTACAGAAAAACAGGGCAGAAAGCAAAGGGATAAAATATACAATTTCTGGGAGAGGACACCAGAAAGGCTCTGATCGTTCTCTGCGGTTTGGCAAAAAAGTTCACCATGGGAGCCCAGGGAGCCGCGTGGGGAAGGAGAGAATCAGGCGTCCCCGGCGCCTGGCGACAGTGCAGGCCGGAACAGCCACCTCGCACGTCTGGGTGCTGAGGCTGCCGCTCCCCAGGCGTGAGCCCATTTCTGGCAGGAGTCTTAGGAACGCCTATGAGAGATCAGAGACGACGTAAATACCTAGTGAGAGGCAACCGGGTGAGGAAACCACGCAATATTGCTGTCGTGAACGCGTCACAGGAGTTCACACACCGGCTTCCCCTGAGGAGGGACTGCGGCCCCGGCCCCTGACCAAATCCGACCGCTGTCCGTTGCATAAAGTTTGGGTGGAACACAGCCAACCCGAGCACAGGTGTTGGCGGTGGTAGGTCCCCATCACAGGCCGCAGTGGGGCTGAAACCGCCCCTCAGGCCCTTCGCAGGAAGAGCCTGGGGCATCACCTTCGCAAATCTACGTAGTGTGCACGCCAGGGCGGTGCGGTCCTGGGATGCACACGCCACACCCCGCGACCGTTAACAACTGCAGGCACCCCACAGCCCGCGCCCCGCACCGCCCCGAGCCCCGCACCCTGCACCGTCGTCCCACGGCCAGGCTGGGGCACCTGTGACAGGAGGCTGTCTTGGCTTCCACGACGTTTCCACGTCTTTAAGAAAGATGTGGACAACGACATCAAGTGGCAGGACTTGAGAGGGCGTATGCAGGGTAGGAGGACCCACTAAGTCCTTCCTGGCTGTTTCAGGGGAAAACGTGCGTCCTCAGCCAACGGCCACAGCGCCCTGTCCGCTCGCACCCGGGACGGGACGGCCTCCTCAGTTCGCTTGCGGATTTTCCCAGAGCAACTTCCAAGGGTTTCCAAAGATGGAAA